CCCCCCCAGATTGTTTAAATTTACTATTTACAGCCCCCTATTACAGGGCGGTAACTTCTCTCTGAAGATTTCCCAGCTTTGATCCGTGATGGAGAGGGGCAGGGAAGGAGCTAGTGCAGAGCCATATCAGCAGAGCAGAATGTTTATTAATGATTAAAAAAAAAAGACAGTACATACATAAATTCTTTTTTTTTTTTTTTCTGAGGAAGGCTGGAAAAGCATCTGGAGAAGCCCAAATGCAGGCAGAGTTGGTGGCCACTAGACAGGGACATCCTCGTGGATGCGGACCTGGAGGGGACAGATGCGGAGCGCCTCGGGCAGGGTGCCCGCCGGCGCGGCCCCCACGTAGAAATAGGGGAAGACGGTGCCCCCAAAATTCTCGTGGAAGGTGTAGATGTGGCTCTTGCTGTCAGCGTTGTAGAAGGAAAGTTCCCCTTCGTCACAGTCCAGCTCCACCCGGATCCGTCTCAGGTCGCCCAGCGCCGCTTCGGAACGCGCCGTGTTGGATGCGCGGCACATCTCGCCGTCCTTGCCGGGCAGGCGGTAAATGTACCAAAACCCCGAGCGAGCGTCGTGGTGGAAGGTCCAGTGGGTGCCACCGCGTGGCTGGGCCACCCCCACCCGCCAGTTTGTGATGCCACCCAGGTCAACCTCCCAGGTGTGGAAGCCGGCGGAGAAGCCGCAGGAGCCCAGGATGCAGGGGGCCGAGGTGAAGCGCTCGGGGTTCTCCACCAGCAGCTTGTAGCCCCCGTTGGTGACGCTGGCGAGGTCCTCGGACACCGAGAGCCAGTTCGCCGCTGAGTTGGGGTCGAAGCTGAAGGGGACTGTGGTGGGGACATGGGTGTTAGGAGCCCAGCTTGCTGCAGGGGGCATGAGCTTATGGGGAGGACCACAGCCCTGCAGGTATCCCTCCAGCCCTCCCTCCACCCCTTGATACCTCTGTCCCTTCCTCCTCCTGCCTCTCCCTCCTTCTGCCCCTCTGTCCCTCACTCTGTCCCTCCCTCCATCCCTTCCTCCTTCCACCCATCCATCCCTCCCTCCATCCATCCTTCCTGCCACCTGCCCCTCCCTCCCTCCTTGTCCCTCCCTCCCTCCCTCAGCTCACAACAAACACACCCTCCAGCGCTTCCCTTTTGGGGTGCAAGTGCCCCAGAACATCCTTTACACCCTCCAACCCCCCACCCCAACC